AAAGCCATAATTATAATAACAAATATTTCCATCATATTTTTGATTAATATTATTATTTTGTTCCACTTGAAAAAAAAACATACAAATAAAAAATATTAATATTTTACTGTAGAAAATAATAGCTATGCAAGTAAATCTGAGAAGCTTGGAAAAGAGGTACAAAAAAATTTGCAAAAAAGTGTAAATACAAAATTAAATTTATTTTTATTTTATACCAAATTAAATTTATCAATAGAATATTAACAACTTATTAAGTAAAATAGTGGTAAATTTTAGAATAGAGTGGGACGCGGTAAAAGGTCCATTATAAACCTGAGAACACTTTCATATTCAAACATTTTTATATCGATTATAGCTGGTTTTATGTTAAGCACAATTTTTTATTCAATGTTAAAAAATGATAATTATTAGATAGTGGTTTGAGATATAAATTTATTTATTTGATCGATGATAATTTTAATAATAACTTAATGATTAGCTTGGCTATAATTGGAATATGTAGTTCCAGCAACACAAATACAATTTTCCATCCAGTAACACAAATCCATCGAGGATGTTAACAAATTTTATAAGAGAAGAATTTGGCCGCACAGGAGTTCAGACTTATTCTCAGCATATTTATTTTTATGGGATTATCTTAATCACGAATCTCGAATTTTAGTCGAAGATAATAAATAGAAAATTGCAGTTGTTAATGACTTTTATTGTTTTTTTTGAAAAACTAAGTTGTACTATTTTAAATCTATATTTATATAGATTGCAAAGTTCAAATATCACTAAAACATTTAAAACAAATAATGGCAATTCAGACTGCAAGGTGCATGCAACGAAACCTCCAATATTTAGAGGCCGCGAAATCGCGTTGAAATGCAAAATGCACGCACATATCATACCCGTCTTATTTTGCTTATTAAGAAATGAAGTAATTGGATGAAAACATGCACGGGATGTTGATTTTGTATAGTAATGTGATCGTAAAAACTTCCAATATTTCAAATACACAAGGTTTATATTCATTGGGATAATTTGATTACTAATAACAATCGGAAACGTTTGATAGTTTAATATCATCTTAAAAAATGGGCATGTCATTATTATTAAATAGTAATTCATTATATTTACTATCATTAAAGAAATCAAAATAATAATGTAGCAGATATACAATTTGATAAATTTATTAGAGATGTACAAACTAGCATCAGGAAGCTGTAGAATAGTTCCACATATTATTGATTTGAAAAATAAATTTGCACAAAGTTTGTAACTTTATATTAATAAGGCGGAGCACAAAAGTCCAATTTTACTTTGAGAAATTATATTGTAGAAACCAAAACAATCAGAATAAATAACACATATTAAACAAATAACCATCTGATTATGTTTCGCAAAACTCACAGCTATTCATCATTGTAGAAATGTGTTCTTTTGGTGTTTTCCAAAAATTTGTCACGTAGTTTTGTTTACTACATAGGCAGGGTGAAATAATAGCTACATTATTCAACCAATCCAAAATATAATTTATGAGTAAATATTTTACAGTGATAACACTGTGCATAACCTTGATCTGGTATTTCATCAGAAACAATCATCATCAGCTTAGTTCGAATAACTCTTTATTTAACTTATATCCCTTACAATTTTTTTTTGTTAACTTAGGTTACATTTTTATTTACTATTTTCGTTGTTTACACTTTTGCGTGGGTAAAGGTTCCTTTACCAACTTTGGTCTTTTTTACCCCACCCACGTGTAAGATTTTATAGAGATTATATAAAAAATTGTCAAAACTTAAAATTAACAATACACCTTATAGAACAATTGATTAACGTATACTTAAATATTATTTTTAACGAAAGAAAATACTTTTGTTATGAATTTTCAAATATTGCCGTTTATTTCTCGATTGCAACTTCATAAGACTTAATGTGATGGCAGAGTATACATCTTTTTTACTTTCATATATTGTTGTTAACATATTCTTAAATTTACTACGATACGATATTGGTAGTGGACCTTTCGTCCTGCGGACCTTTAAGCCTCGCTCTACCCTATATATTTATATGTATAATACATCATATTCAAAAAAAGAAAAAAATACTGCATACAATTTTAAATATTTCATTAATATACTCAAATATTCGACATAATTTATTTTCCTTCCATTCAAAATACAGTATGTCGCTGAAACTTGTCATTTATTGTGAGAAATCCACTTTTGTGAAATAAACTGCATACAATATAAATAAAATTTATTAGCAGTGACAGTTGTTTTTGTGAAATTGTAAATTGCCAACTACCTCTAAACATTAGTTTAATACAAGCAAACGAGTTTTAGACTAATAAAGTCAGCAATTGCGTTGGCGGATGCAAAACGATAGAATTTTTATACATGTTCAGTGATTGCAGAAGTACAGAATTGTTTGCATGAAATTTCTAATGCGCGTGCTTTAAAGCAAAAACTGTGAATTCCTAAACACAGGTAATAAAGGTTACTGTTTGTAATTAGTAAGCTAGTAAAAGAGACAACGATGTGTGTCTGTTATAACTGGAATCAAATGATTAATCTACATAAAACTGGAATTTGCAGTAATTAGTTTTAACTTTTTTTTCAACAATACGAATTATGTTATGAGCAAAAGTATGTTTTAGTCTTGAATTTTGTATAAAATGTTTTAAGTTGGTTTTGGTTATACCATTGTGGTAGATCAAAAATTTTTTATATAAACAAATTTAGATAACTGTTGTTTATTAACATCCCGTAGGGTAACTTATAGTAATCGCCAAAAAATCGAAAATATTTTTTTTTATGCATCTTTACGTTTCAAAGATTTTTGAACATGTTGGCATTCTTTAGAAAAGAATGATGTATGTGTGTGTGTGAGTGTGTTCACTTTTTGGTAAAGGCAGGTAAAGCCGTTTTAAAGATACGAAGCGTAAAGTGCCAAAAATGGTAATTCAGTTTTTGAGTATTGATGAAATGAACTGTTTCAATTTTTGAGAAGGCAGGTCCAGCACTTTCGGAGATAACCCAACTAAATAAAAACTGAAACGCCATTTGACGATAAAAAGCCATTAGATATTTTATAGAGATTTTAATAAGAAGTACATATTTTGTTTTTATTTCTATGGGTTCCCTAATTTTTCATATTTTAAAAGTTTTTAATTTTCAGTACAAAAAGTTTTATCAATATGCTTTAAGGCACGATGCCATGCACAGCTAGTTGTTATAATATAACTACATATACGTGTTGCGACTGCATAGGTAAATAGAGCCATTAAGAAGTCAAATATTTTATTTAGAGTATTCAATAGCAACTCGTACATGCATTTGCCGGTGTAAACATACAATTTGAAAAGTGTTCGAAAAATAAGTACGTTGTCTTTTGCGCAGTTCTAGTTCTTCTGACGAATTTTGCAGCCGTACATGTCAAATGTTCTATGTTCGCGTTTCGTTCTATCATGAAAATGTGAAATCTTCCCCCTATCTTCGTCCACTCGCTTTTCGTAGTTGTCAGAATTGATTTATGCCCCGTTTTGTACGATTTTAATTATAACAGGTCGAGACTGAGTATGGACACAAAGTCATCAGCTCCGGTGCATTAACGTTTTCACTTATGTGGAGACCGCGTAATATCTACATCGCGCTACAGAGTCGCAATCTTTCTAAATGAGTGGAAAGCCGACTCGGCCGACACCGTGTGTCAGAAAGGCAAAAGTTAGTTCATCCGGCAAGAAAGCCATTACGCTTTAAAAAAGCAAACACCACGCCTACGGTGCTCTTCGAGAACATTAAACCAACAAACATGATAATTAAAAACGCGCATCGTCGAAGCGTATAAAAATCTATGATTTATTGAAAACGCCAAGGGAACTCGTATCACAGATATGCATCAATCAAAATATGATTTAACAAGTTAATCTGTTACACCCCGACGTGTATTTACGCCTGGCCCGTACTCGCGCACACACTGCCCGAGTAATATCCGAGTAGTTTGTTTTATTCCCGAAAGGCACGCCCAGCGTCGTTAACGAAATTAAAAAGACCAAAATAAAAATAAAAATAAACGCGACTCATTTCGAAACGAACGAAATGAGACAAAAAAATAAATAAAAACAAACAGACACGCTGAACGCGAAGAAAGAAAAGAGTCGGAGAGATAGAGCGGCATCAACGAAGCGCACGAAGACGAGCCCCGGCGAGATCGGCCGACACATTAAAGCCTCATCATTTCCAAAAAATCTCGAGTCGTTAAGGACTTAAACAAAAACAGAACAGCGCAGGCCGCAACGCAGCCAGACGGCACTGAAAAGCACCATTATTTAACGCAACCTTTATATCATATTGTCATTATAACGGCATTAAATAAATATTGACTTCGCGAGAGGCGTATCCTTTAGACCGGACCGCGCCCCCTTCGGCCAATCGAACGCGTAGACAGGGCGCCCCTGCCGGATCCGGCCGCTCGTAGCATCACCCAATGAGAGAAGCCGCTCGGCCCGCCTGCTACGCCGAGCCGTTCCATGCGACCTGCTATTAACTAATAGCCTTTATTCAAGTCCCGGCTCTCGTGCAGTGAACACGCGCTCACACAGTGACAATACTTAAACCGATCCTGTACGATTTTACCGTGTTTGATAAAGTGTTTATTTTATATTTATCAAGTGTTTTTCGCGAACATAACAATTTCAGTGTTTTTGATTCAGTGCAAGTGAACTGGAACGATTGATTTATTACCATTGATTAAATAGTGTTTTTGTTTGAAAAGTGACTTAGAAGCAACAAGTGTTGATATTTTACAACGTGTTTTTAGTATAAAATAACCAACATGCATTTTTATGTTATGTTTGCGAGAATCGATTACATACTACAAAAGTGATTTCACCACTTTCGCAAATATGATAAAAATTGTTTAAAAAATTGTAGACGATTTGCGTAGTTTATATTAAAGTGGCGTGCGATAGGCCGCATACAATACAGCACCCGTTATTTACGAAAACGATCATGATGCCTCTAGCACCGACTCCGATCGTCGCCATACCGACGAAGCCAAAAATCGGTTTCAGCATCGACTCCATCGTAGGAAGTCAAAACAATAACAATAATAACAACAACAGCAGCGTACGCGAACGCGAATATGCAAAACGCGAGCGTTACAGCCCGAACAGCGAAGGCAGTGATCGCGCTCCGTCGCCCGCCAGCGATAATAGTTATCACAACTCAAGCCTGCATCGAAGAAGAGGTAGCCTCAGTCCGCCAGTCGGACCAGCGGACAGGACGCCTCCACCGCCTATGCAACCGCAAATGCCACCGGCAGCAACCGCTTCAGTTCCAGCTCCTGCGATACTCCGGCCAAGTCCTATGGCTCCGCACGCAGCGGCCGCCGCGGCAGCGGCTGCGTCTCTTCCTTATCACCTCAACCAGCAAGATCTCGTCGTGCATGCACACAATCAACATTTCCTAGCCGCTCAATTCCAAGTTGCGGCCGCTCTTGCCCATAATCATGGAGCAGCGGCGGCACAAAATGCGTTCGCTCATGCAGCGGCCGCGCACGGACACCACCCTCCAGCAGCCGGACACCATTCACCCGCCGCACCGAGAGACTCTTACCCGCTTTACCCGTGGCTGCTCAGCAGGCACGGGAGGATATTCCCACATCGATTTCCCGGAGGTAAGTGACCAATATTCATTATAACAATTAATTTACTCAGAAGAATCTTTGCTGAATTTTAAATTATACGTATGCTAAAAGTAACTGAGATATGTTTGCCTTTATTAGTCAAAAGTGCTACTCATGATTCGAAATTTTAAACGTTTTATAATATCCTAAGAAATAAACGATATTGTAAAATTAATTTCATACGATCTCGATTGATTTATTATTTAATTATTCGTATAAAATCAAGTTATTAATTTGATACGCGCCGTTAAATAATAAACGAGTCATTATTTGCGCTACAATAAATAAATGGCTTTCGAGCATGGTTTTGATATTTCAGCATGCGCCCCCAGAACACCAACAATATGTTTTGCGCAGGGTGCATTTAATCTATAATCAAATTATTAACGAATATTCTGAAATTGTTTGTTTTGATTCTAAGAATCAATATATGTCATTAACTTTCTTTGTACGAACGCTGTAAGGCAAAAAATATCTCTAAAAAATCTTTTGTTAATAACCATATTATACCTGTATTCGAAAACACATAAAAATATGAAGGCAAAAGAGAGGATAACAAAAGATAGAATACCTTTACCCATCACAGCAGTCACACGTATCCTTATTTTTTTGACAGTTAACAAAGTGACTTCGAAAACAAAAATAGGCAACTAAATTAAAAATAAATATATCATAACACCGTCGACAATGGGCATCGAACAGTTTTTACAACGGTCCGCTACTGTTCTCGATACAATGCGTTAAGTTAACCGCTGGGCTGTTTAGCTCGCAGCATGTTTTGTTCGAAAAACGATTATGTTAAAAAAGGCACTTTTCAAATTTCTGCGGGGACAATGGATCATCTTACAATTGCGAATTGGCTTATGATCCAATTTTTGTCGGTGTTTTTCTTACATCCCGTCACTCAAACGGCTGGTTTCTTAACCACTTTTAAATTATGAGAAGATGGTGATTAATTCAGTAAGGAAAGGCATCACAAATCTATTAAAATTAATTTTAGCATATAACTCGTTACTTCTAGTGTTGAAACATAGCATAGCACATCAATAAATGTAACTATAAATATTCACATGATTATAATATTTTTAAATAGTATCCAACAAAATATTTGATATTTCTAATTTTTCTAGAAGAGAATCTAAAAATATAATCAAACTCTATTTTTGCAATATACATAAATATTATTCGATACAGAAACATTATATCTATATCTCGTTCCCTTCAGGAACTCGGTTTAAGGCTAACAAATGTTGAACCTTTCCACCTCGCTAAAGACATAAACACAATATGAATCACTCCAAAGTGCGATTTAGCCTTCGCGAAATCCAAAACAATACCAATAACGATTTCAACGAAGCCAAATAATGTTCTCAGCTCGAGACATTTGGAATCGCGTTCGCGTGCGAGGAGCCACTTTTGATTCGTGACTTAATAGCATTTTACTATTTTACATCTTTAACTTTTATTAGAAGACACGGCGTTATTTCGAACTGCATCACGTATAAATTATTAGCGACTGTTCGGTTCAGCTTTCTTGCATTTTGCGAAGGCTTGACGTCTCATCAGGGCCTAACTAGACATGTAATAGACGCAGGGATAGGGATATGTAGGCACATATTATATATACACCTATCCCCTGTTTTACACAGTATTCGTGAATTCCTTACACGTTTTTTTAAAATAAAGTTTTTTAACTGAATTTATCAATTTCGCATGTAATTGTAAACACTGAACTATAATTTGTTTATATTTACAATAATAGTTTCATTGTTGTACTGTCAAATTATAACACTGCAATTTAATTGATATCTATATTTAATATTCAAGGTGAACAAATAACAAAATTATTTTTGATCATTGGAATAAATTAATATTCTTATAATTTATCAAATTATATAGTTATATTTATTTTTCGGCCAGTTTGTTTGTTATTTGTCATATTAAAAACTGACAAAAAGGACTGTTTATAGTGATTTTTGTTTAGCGCGGTTTTTCCATATAATAGTGAAATTTTCAAGTTACGCGGTTTTTCATGGAACCTGCGCAAAGCGAGGGATAAGTATATATATATATATATATATATATATATATATATATATATGTGTGTGTGTGTGTGTGTGTGTGTGTATAATCTGTACACTTATTTTGATACTATGTTTTATATGACATTTGTGCAGCGTGCATTGGGAGTGGAAATCCCTGCATCACCTGTCAATCACGGCGCGATACCAAACTGAGACGCTTTTTTATTCATTAATTGATGTTATTTCAGGCGTAACGAACGCAATGGACCTTATGTGTATACATATATATTTAAATACTCACATACACTTGGCATTTAGACTTAACTAAACAATACACACACACGAAACCTTATCCATTATTCACCTATGTTATTTTATGTGTGTTTATATACAGAGGTGGTCTTTGTTATACGCAGAAATATGATATTTTTTACCGATGATCGGTTAATTTGGTACGAACTTGAGATTCTTAAAATTGTTATGACTTTTCGGTTCCAGAACAAAAAAACTAACTCGGTTGAGCAGTTATTAACTATAATTTTATTGAGTCATTAATTTTCGAAAACGATTCCAATTATCACGAAGTTGATAAAAAATGGTTCAAAAAATTGCTTTCATGCTTGTGTAATGAATAGTGCATGCTAAAATAGTTTAAAAATACATGAAATATTTTTCAACCATAATTTTATTTCATTTTACATGCGCAAACAATATTAGAAATAACGATCTGGAGAAATGTTCATGGGTTAGTGTTATGAAAAAAAATCTTTTTATCTGATTCAATGTCAGTTAATTAATTATAATTATCATTACGAGCGTGTCTGTGTGCACAGTGAATGCGCATGCCATTCATTTGCATATTTTTTCTATCATTAATGACAAACAGAGTACGTTAGATATGAGGCTCTGTTCATTAAAAATCACGTCAAACTTTTAATTGATTGTGCTCAATGTTATGTTTTGTTTTCTAATTAATTATAATAAATATATTCATGCATTCATTTTTTACAACTGCAGAATTTTTATTATTTCTTTCATAAAAAATTCCGTAAAATTTAAAGTTTTGCACGGAATTGAAATGATCATTTTTGTTATCTACGATAAATGTGTTATCACAACAAATATAGCAATAATATAATTAGAGCACATTTCCTTCTGTTTGATCGAAATAATTACAGAAACATTGTATTGTATAATCATTTATTTCTCCTAATGATTTATTCAATAATATTGAATATGATATCATCATATCATTTTGTATGCGTGAATACTGATTACATTGATGTGTAGAGTATAATATCGATTACATTAGTAATTTATTGCATTATAATAAGATTAATTGTTTATTAATCTACTAGTTTTCAACAATTTGATAAATCGTGTAATTAGCAATAATGAATTCTACAATAAAAAATGGTTTAATTAAAACTGTAGTTACAACGCAAACCTAGTAATTACTTAACAATTATATTATTTAAACATTAACCAGTCTTATGAGTGTAAACATATTTTCGATTAGTTGAGCATGAAATGCGAGTAATTGTAAGAGAAAAGTACAATTAGTATATATATATATATATATATATATATATATATATATATATATATATATGTGTGTGTGTGTGTGTGTAATAATTTTTCTTATGGTGAAAAATATGTTGATAAGATGAAAAACTTCTTAACGGGCATTGATTCAGATAATAAACTGGAAAGAAAAGTAAGATATAAAATAAGTTTAATAGATCCATAGGTTTCGAGTCTCAATTCGACTCTTCTTTAGTGGGAACAAAACTACACAAAATGTCACAAGAAAAATATGGTAATTGAACAAAAGTATTTTAAAGCGAGTAAAAACAAGAGTTAAGCAATTACATATAAGTAAATCTAATATAAAAATATTTTGTGTAAGAATGAATTAAAATAAAATATAAAAAACTACCACACAAGTAATTAATACACAAACACAAAACAAGAAGATGTCAAATGAAATATTACATTATAAACACAAACAAGTAAAAGAAATAAACGAAAATAATACTTTCGACGATGGCGCAAGAAATGAAATACGAATGCAATGAAAATCAAAAATGTCAGCGTTGAAAAAGATTTTGAAAACAAGTTTGTAAAGTCTAATCAATAACCAAAAAGCGAGATGTCGCTTTTGTCTAAATTGACACGCGTTTAATTATATCAGCCATAGATAAGGAATAATAATAATATGATAAGGATATCAGCAAAGAAGTAAAAAATAATTCCATTGCAGAATTTGTCTATGTATTTTGCATTGCGCCCCTGTGGCGGCAATAAAAAATGAATTACCTTTTCATTTACAGTTGCATGCCATCAAATAAAATCAAGCGCTTTTGTTGCATGTTACGCATTATGAAGAGTCGGCGCTGGGCGGCAGCTCAGCGCCCAATTGAATTACACGAACCCACTCGACTCGTTGTAAAAAATCGAACAATGAATGCGCCCGATCTGAGTTTTTTTTCGTTTTTAACATCGCGAATATCAATAACATAATAAGGGCGATATCATGAGCCCGATATTATCGGGGAGGGAAGTGTCATAAGCTCGATTATATAGGGCTGCTTTCGAAAGGGGAAGCCGAGCATTTCAGCAATACCGACGTGCTCAACATGGCTGACATCGTGTACTCGTATGTGAAATAATAAATATCTATATAGGCAAAGTCGAAGAAAAAATACGAAAGAATGATGTATTATTATTATGGCAGTTTTGAAACGCTGCTAAGAATGACAGCGCTAATTTTAACGTTCCCGTAATGAAAGGTCATTAAAGGAATGCTTATGTGTTGTGTATTTTTTCTGTGTTCTTTTCGAATATTTCAAGAGGCTCCACGCATTTGTATAATCGCGCGGTACAGTTTCAACAAGATATTTTCCGAATACGCGTAATGGGCCATAATTAGCGGACATGAGTTGTTATTAAAACGGCTAACTGATA